TGCCATACAAGTGTAAGCAGCACCAGAATGTTCGAATCGGTCTCTCAGTTGAGAACAATAAGGGCTTCGGAACATGGAAAACCTCTTCTCCTTCGTCTCTGCGCGTTTTCTGTCTCCGCGATACCCAAGGTAATATCTCATATTTTATGTTTTTTTTTTGTGATACGTACTTTTTATTGCGTATTTTATGGTTATGCTGGTGAAAATATGAAGGAATTGAGTTTTGATTCGCCGATTTGAAGTTGATTGTTGTGATTAATGTGCTCATCGATTTGAAATATATGATAAAATTGCTTCGATCTGGTCTAAGAGTAGGTCCTCAGGTTAAATATTAATGGCTGAATCAGAAAAATTAGTGGAATATCTCTCGGATCATGATTGTTAATATTTGAAAGTAGTTCTACATTTGTTTGGACTCCGTTTTCCTTCTTTTATTTGTGGTCGTCTAAGCTGTGTACGATGCGAAATACTCTAATTCGTACAGTAAATTCGGTAAACTGGAATCAGTAGGCTTTCCTATCGTGGATCTCTACTTGGTAATAGATCTGAGAATAATTATTTCTCCCTCGGTGAGGCCGTGATGCACCAAAACTTGTGGTAGTGGTGCGTTGTGCCAATGAAGTAGCCAACCTGCTTTTATTTCGAAATTATAGATGGAGCTTTATAAGCAGGGATTGTATGAGCTTTTCTACTATCTTCAAGCCTTGTAATGAAACCATCACTGTGTTATAAGTTCTAAGAATGCTTAAAATCTTAGGTATCTAATGAGACTACAGTTATTAGTGATTTTGTATGAGGATGAGAAATGCAGTTCGGATAAATCTAACTCGTTCTGGTTATTTATTTGCTTTATTCTCATCCAAACTTGTTATACCAATATTTTGAGAGTTACTTCTGGAATACTTATATTGACCACTTGCCATTGCCTAGATATGTCTTGGCCTGGTCTAGTTGGCAACAGTTCTTTTCTGGTTTTCTGTTTGTAAATGAGTCAAGATTTCTTTGCTCATCAATAAATAGTAAATAAATAAAAATATTTTGTTGCAAAGTTTTTTGACCTCCACCATACAAGAAGTATATAAAAGATGCTAACCAGAACTATTTCTTTCTACCAATGAATTGGAATGCTTTATGTGCTCCAGCAGTTTAAAAAGAAGAAGAAAAGAGCTCCATATCATCTAAGGCTCTTCTGTTCCTATTTCTCCATATTGTCTATGTCATTACATGTGGTATTACTTTGCAGCTCATATCTACTTCTTGTAATTCCACTCCAGCTACACAAGAGTTTTTTCACAATGATTGGCATATCAAATTGAATGTTACCTGTTCTCTTAGCAGGCTAGTTGGATTAGGTAGAAAGCATGGGGAACCTTTTTGGGGAATGCAACATATGTCCTCTTGCTGAAATATTTGCATCACTGTCTAAATTATCTCAGGCTGCATGTGCGAATTCAGTTGATTTGAAATCCTCAATATAAAAAGTATCACCAAATGCTATTTTGCATGTGGAAATAAATATGAGTATCACTAACAGTATACCACTGCAAGGTCCAAAACTAATGTGTTTTCTTTATCCTGAACGGATTTCAAATGAGACTTGTTACCATGCTTTTATGTTTGAGTAAACTCCTAGCAGAGAACAATCATAAAAAAAGACCAAATGTTTGAGGTCTAGGTGCATCTTATTTGGAGCTTATGAGCCCCTTAACGGGAACACCTTGAGATGTGCTTTATCAGTCTAATTGTTTTCATTTCAAACTTCTCCATTTCTTTTGTATGGGTATTAGGCAGTCGAAAATTAAGTACAGATATATCTCTATACTGTTTTTTGGTGTAGCATGGCCACTGCAAATGTCACATAAGCCATGGAAGATTTTTTTTCTGTTCTTTACTTTGTCAGTAGTATTACTCCTCTGCAAATTTTCTGCAGCACCTTCTGGTTGCTGGATTATCAATATTATAACCTTTTAGCAATAAAAACAAGATGGCTGTCGAGCATATGTTGGTCTCTTGCGTTTTTTTTTTTTTACATTATCAGTTCTGTTCTGTGTGGTGTTCTTTTCCCTTTTTTCGGATATGTTTACTTGTTTAGGTTTCTTTGCATTAGACTTATTCTTAGTGGTCTGCCTTGGGAATCTAAGTGCTCAGTTGCAGAATACTTTGTCTCTCTGGAGTATTAAAGAGATTTAGTACGTTGAGGTTATACTGCTATCTGTAATAAAGAAGTTGCTTGAGTGGCAAAAGGTGGAGGATTTGTGACGTAGGTCGCAGGTTCAGGCCCCACACCATGCAAAGCGAAGCCCGGTATTTAAGTGGAGAAGGGTAGAGGGTCGGGCCCATTATCCATCGAGTTTAGAAGGCTGTGATTGGTCTAAAGGGCGGCGGGTCACAGACAGATTTCTCGGTTATAAAAAAAAATGTTATGCATTTGCTAAAATATTATCATAACAAGGAGCAGGAATAATGCTCAAATATCATCCGTTCTCTCATTTTGCAACCTTACTAGAGATATGGATGTCCAGTACATAAGGCATTGTGTTTGAATATGCTTGTCAAGTGAATTTTAATATCTTTGAATATGACCAAGAGTATATTAGTTCAAACACAAAATGATTAAGCTGTGGATACACTCTTGAAATTTCAAAACCAACAACACTTGGCCCTCCTCCCTTCCCCAAATATAATGAAAATCCTCTACAAATATCTATAGTTTCTTACTCCGTTATTAATATTTTATTTCACATATAATAGCTGATATAATACAAACACACTCACACACGCGTCTTTATCTAATCGGATAATTTGATTTACTTCAAGTGAATTGTGTCAGCATTTTGTTTCTTAAAACTTCCATTTTCACCTCTGTCAAGTTTTAAAAGCATGTTATAGTGGGTATCTAATGATCCAAGCCCCTAGATATATGTTATAATACCAGGTGGATGCTTGAAGATCCTCTGAAATAAGAGAAATCTTTGAAGTGTGCAGTAATTGTGAGAAAATGTTTATTGTACAACAGCTAAATATCTAAAGCATTCAACTACTTTTTAATCCACCTTACATTTGCTCAGGAGATCATATTTTGCTCTCAAAGGGCTTCTACCAGAAGTAAATAGTCATATAAATTAATGTTATAGGGGTATTTAAAATAATCTAATTTATGATAAAATGTCTACAGGAGCGGAATCAAGTAATTTGGATTGAGAAGTAGTGATTGATATATAAAAGGGCTACAGGAAAATGTTAGATTGAGAATGCGTCTGTATACTGTGCTATGTATTTACGTAAATTTTATTTTGAAATCTTTTCATTTGAACTACTGGTGTTTGTATCTTAGGTTGGCGCTTTAGTGTTTTGGTTCATTAGTATGCAGGAAATGGATTCATATATGAAGCATATTTATGGTGGTTTTCTCATCCAAGTTATTTTGAAAGTTTATACTAATAATTGCTTCCTAACTTACAATGTACAGCTGCAGCTGTCACTGCTAAGTCATGGGATAAATTGATATTGAGCAGTGATACTCCTGTTCTTGTTGAATTTCATGCCACTTGGTGTGGCCCCTGCCAGATGGTTCACCGGGTAATTGATGAGATTGCAGGTGAGTATTCAGGGAGACTAAAATGCTATGTACTGGACGCAGATCGTGAACCGAAAGTTGCTGAGAACTATGATATCAAGGCTGTCCCTGTGGTGTTACTGTTCAAGAATGGGGAGAAATTTGAGTCTGTTATCGGAACAATGCCCAAGGAGTTCTATGTGTCTGCCATTGAAAGACTTCTATCTTCATAATGAGAACGTCATGGTAGCATATGCGCAAATTGGATAACTCTCTACTTCTATTTAAAAATTATCTTCCTCGCTGGTGCCTTGTAATTGCATTTTCCTTTTCTATGAATCATCGGCTCGTTTTCCTCAACATTGACTGCTCTCCGTGAAAGCACTTCCGGCTTCTTTCTTCACAATGAAATTTGTATAGGGTCGGTGAACTTGTGAATAGTGACTGTATTAGTTAACTAAAGATGTCCTGTTTCCTTGACGTGTTTTTGTTGCTGTGACTAGTGACTAGTGACTAGCCTTGAGCTTTCTTAAGATGAATATTAGTAGTAATATTTTGCTCCAAGTACTTTGACACATGGTATCTAATAAGCCAACACGAGATGATAAGTTTAACATATGATAAAATTGACAATTTTGTAAAATTTCCATTATTTTTAGTATCATTCAAAAGAGCGCACTAAATTAAGGCGTTTTATTTCTTAACCATAATTAACTAATAGATACTCTAACTTTATTTTGTTACTTAACTGAGGTTATCTTCGCTGAATGCTTATCCCTAATTAGCACAATTCATTGTGATTAAGCAATAAAATTTGTGTGATGATATAAGTTATTGTAATTAATTATGATTAAGCAATATCAATACCTATAAAGACTAAAATTATCTTTTTATGAATAGGTGTATTTAGTACGAATTTTAAAGTAATAGAAATTGATCATAATCACAAATAAATTATAATGATTGATCAATATTTATGAGTATAATAACTTGATGGGTTTCCTACAATATATTTGATTGCAGAATAGGTTTGAGATAAATAATATTTGATGTTTTGATTTTTTGTTAATATTCAAGATTTATTAGGATATTAGAGAACAAACATTTGAGATTTTTGATCACTTTGTTAATACTTTTGAGATCTCAAGTGCATCCCTTTTTATGGTATGAATTAGGGTTTATGATAAAGTAGTCTTTACTTTATAGTTTGAAGAATGATTGAACTCGTCTAGTAGAGTCATATTTTAAAGCATAACACATATACACGTCATTTAATTTAGATTCAACTGCTATTTATATTCACCATCTTTAAAGATACATAAATAAATACTTAAACTTATACAACTAAAACTATGTATATTATAATTAGAGAGAATTTGACGTCGAGTTAAAAAATATATTTATATATTTATTGAATGTCGGTTTTTACTAATATAAACCGCGCAGTATAGCAGCGGCCCAAATTGCAATTCCGGTGTCTCTAGTTCCTAGAAGCGAATGAAGAATTAACAAGTGTAGTGAAGAAGACTCAAAAACAGTCTTTGGGAGTTTCGTTCTGAAGAAGAATCAGCACCTCTACTTTGCAGCTCATCGATTATTTCGTCTTCAGGTACTTTCTCCCCTCTCGTATACGTATTTGCTAATTCTATGTAGGGTTTCCTTATTTGAATTCCACATCACTTGGTGGGATCTCACTGCGTATGTTGCTGTTGTTTGCACAATTTTTTTGTAAGAAAAACTTTTTTGATTTCCTGAATAAGATGTTAACGTTATTTTCATTACCCATGAGTTAATCCAAAGGCTTCCAGTTAAATTTAGGAAAATACTGTTTTTAATTGTCCGAATTGTTGGAATTTATGGGATTTACTTGAATTAGAGACGAATGGATACATGAGATTCATATAGTTGATCGGAACTAGTTTGGGATTGGGGTTTAGTTTATTGTTGGAATTTCTATTTATTTATTTTTGTGTTTTGATCAGATCAGTTTGTGCTACAGGAAGTTTTTCTATTTTACTCTGGAAATTCTTCAGCTTTTTAGCCGGCTTTTACTTAGTATTTGATGTTTTGAGAATTCAAGATGGGTCTTTTTTTTCCCCTTGATGTGGGTTCGAAGTCCCATAATCCATTACAAAATATGCTTAAATAGTTATACTGAGAACTAAAGAGTCCATTGTTAATATTTTCTAGCTTTTATATTGCTGAAAAACGTTATTGTTTTTCGTCCCGAGTAAATTATGGTGACTGCTTGTGAATTGATTATTCATGAGTCTGCTTCAGTATTAATGCAAGTGTTTGGAAATACCTCTATTTAGATGGAATTTTGTATCTAGTGATTCGTCTAGTTTGTTGTTAGTCGCTCATTTTGTTGGCCATATACAGGTAACCTGGGACTACACAATCGTTAGCTGAAACACTGATGGAACTTCCTCCTACTTCATCTTTTGGATTGTCATCAGAGTCCTCAGAGCAAAGTGGGAAGCTGATGGCAAACACAAATGCGAAAGCACTAGCAACTTTTTCCCTGCAAAGCCCAAATTCTTCACAGGGACCAGTGGCAATTCTTTGGGACATTGAGAACTGTCCTGTTCCAAGTGATGTACGGCCTGAGGATGTGGCTGGCAACATCAGAATGACTCTGCGGGTCCATCCTGTGATCAAAGGAGCAGTTACACTGTTTTCTGCCTATGGAGATTTTAATGCTTTCCCAAGACGATTAAGGGAGGGATGCCAGAGAACTGGTGTTAAACTTGTAGATGTCCCCAATGGCAGAAAGGATGCAGCTGACAAGGCCATCTTGGTTGACATGTTTCTTTTTGCTCTTGACAATCCTCCACCCTCGTCCATTATGCTAATATCAGGAGATGTTGATTTTGCTCCTGCACTTCACATTCTTGGTCAACGTGGATACACTGTGATCCTTGTTATTCCTTCAGGGGTTGGTGTTTCGTCTGCTCTATGTAATGCAGGGAGGTTTGTATGGGACTGGCCAAGTGTCGTTCGAGGCGAAGGCTTTGTGCCTCCTGCGAAGGCCTTAATGCCTTGTCGTGGTGGTGTCTCAGACATTACTGGGATTCTAATGGGGTGTTGCCAGATTAATGACAACTCAGATGGTCAGCATGAAGATGAAGCAATACTGTATAGGGGCCTCTCACAGAGCTACTATAATGCAAGGGAATTCTCAATGATATCACATTCTCTGGCTGAATATAATACCACTGCAATTTCCATGCCATGTTATCCTACGGGTATGAGAACTCATAGTCTTCCTTCTGGTTTAAATGAAGTTTCAGCTGGAGGTCCATCTTCACATGACCAGAGTGACTTGACATGGGTGCAGCCTGGGGATATAAATGGTTTGAAGGGGCAGCTGGTGAAGTTGCTTGAATTATCTGGCGGCTGCTTGCCTCTTACACGTGTTCCTGCAGAATACCAGAAAATTTATGGGAGGCCTCTTTATGTTTCAGAATATGGTGCAGCTAAGCTCGTGAATCTTCTCAAGAAGATGAGTGATGCAATTTCAGTCGGGGGGAAAGGCCAAAAGAAGTTTGTCTACCTCCGTAATTCATGTGCTGTACCAAGTGCTCCCCCCATAACTATATTAAAAAGAGATAACAAAGGAAAAGGAACACAAGAGGGAAATGCCGATATTGTGACTGGGGTTGGATCTTCAGATGAGTTCTCTGATGATGAAAGAGGACCCATAAAAGAGCATGGGGGGAGCTGTGAGAAATCTAATATGGTTGAAAAAAGCCTTGAAAATTTCAAGTATGAACTTCAAGAGATACTTGTTAGCTACTCTTGCCGGATTTTTCTTGGTTGTTTTGACGCAATATATCAACAAAGGTACAAGAGGCAATTAGACTACAAGATCTTTGGAGTGGTTGAACTTGAGCAGCTACTAGCGAAGGTGAAAGATGTAGTGATTGTGCAAGAGGAGCCCGTTAGTAAGAGGAAGTTTCTGGCTGCTGTTGGTGCCTAGAAGTGTTTATCGTTTATTTATTGACTATTTACTATCTTAACTTCCTCGGGACTTATGCTGAGGTATTTGTTGTTGCTACTTTGTCCTTGTCATTTTTTTGTTTTTGTTTTCTCTTCAGTATGACAAAGAAAAGCTGAAGTCATGTTTGTCATTTCTTCTTCATCATGACTTAGTTTGTTCTATAATGTCAGAAGTTCCTATGTAACATCAGAACAACAGGGAATCTCTGTGTATATTTTTCCTGTTGCTTTCATCTAAATACATGCTAGAAGGTGTAAATTATTCAAGCTAGTTTGTGCAGAATACTCATCATGGTACATATCAATAATGGGCAAGATGCACTTTTTTATGGATTCTTATTTTTTTGCCGTATATAACTTGGATCTGAATTCTGCTTCTAAATTCAGTGAGATGCCTATCTCTTCCCCATATTTTCCCAAGTCTATGGAATTAGTCAAAGTTTTCTGTAAGTGTATTTGCTTTGGGAAAACACTCTATAGCTCATCTCATGGTTTTTCATAACTCTTTGCTGCAAAGAGACTATTATCAAAGGTAAGCAATCTGGCTGTCCGGTTTTGAAACCTTTGGGTAAACTGAGTTGGCTTCAACTTAACTATGACTGGGCTTCTGTCCTCATTTTACTTCAAGAGCTTTTCTTAAATATATTATTTTTGTTGTTATATTTTTTAGACAGAAGAGAAGGATATCTTACCAGTTTGATTGAGTCAATTTGGTGGGAGTAGTGAAAGTCTACCCTTTTGTCAAGGCTCTTAAGCTTAGCCAGGGGAAAATAAACTAGAACCGTATCTAGTTTGCTCCAAAGAGTTTTTGGTAATATTTTAAGTAACTTATCAGTCTATATGCCGACACTTACTGAAGTTATTCTTTTTTTGCTAATATGGGGGTCTAGCTAGTTGCATTAAGCTGCTCCTCTCAGGTATTTGCCATATGTTGAGAGTTCAAAATGGAGATACCAAATCAATTTGCAACATTTTCGAGGCATATTAATCCATATTTCCATTTTTGTTTGTTACATTTAGTTGCTGAGCACCATGAAAGGACAATTGTGGATGTATTCACCTGTTAAGGAGAGAAGCAAGCTTCCATGACAGGAAGCATTGCATGCTGGCTGTGTGTCTGAATTACAGCAGCATACCAAATTTATATGTCCCGGCATAACTTATTACTAATGTGAAATTCTTAGTGTCATTTTTAGTGCTTCTTTCTTAGGTACATCCTGGTTGCGTATCCTAATACTAATGTGAGGTTTTCTTTGCATCACTTTTTAGTGCTGGCCGTGTGTCTGAATTACAGCAGCATACCAAATTTATATGTCCCGGCATAACTTATTACTAATGTGAAATTCTTAGTGTCATTTTTAGTGCTTCTTTCTTAGGTACATCCTGGTTGCGTATCCTAATACTAATGTGAGGTTTTCTTTGCATTACTTTTTAGTGCTGGCCGTGTGTCTGAATTACAGCTGCATGCCAAATTTATACGTCCCGGCATAACTTATTACTAATGTGAAATTCTTAGTGTCAGTTTTAGTGCTTCTTTCTTAGTTACATCCGGGTTGCGTATCCTAATACTAATGTGAGATTTTCTTTCCGTTACTTCTCAGTTCTGGCCGTGTGTCTGAATTACAGCTGCATGTCAAATTTATACGTCCTGGCGTAACTTATTACTAATGTGAAATTCTTAGTGTCATTTTTAGTGCTTCTTTCTTAGGTACATCCGGGTTGCGTATCCTAATACTAATGTGAGATTTTCTTTGCGTTACTTTTTAGTGCTGCTTTCTTAGTTAGCATCTAACAATGTCATCTTATCTGTCATGGCACAGCTTAAGCCTTGTCGCATTGGAGGGATGTTGAAGTTAGAGAAGGCCCTGTCTCCTTGCAAAAGCTCCCACAATGGTGTCAATTATGGCAGTACAGTCTTGCAATAGTCGAATCATTTTTGTCACTTCTTTCAATTTGTTTATGGTTTGTGTACCAATTTGAAGCGCTCCTGCAGAAGTCTGATGGCAAAGATAATAAACTTCTGATTGGATAATAAGAGATAAAGGATATGGTCCCAGGTGATTGGTAGCCTTATTTTACTGTTATCCGAAATGAACTTTAAGTGCAAGTTGGGCAGCCATAAAGGATTGAATCTGGCGTGTGAACATCTAAGTTGGTGGAGATATGCACAACAAGCATGGCTATGAAAAGACTTAGTTGGGTCTCAGCAGCAATAGCATATGGTCGTAGGGTACATATGATCATGTCATATACAGTAACTTGAACAATCGGTCAAGGACTTGAGTCATATAAACATGCGCTTTGATGTTGCTCCTTGAGGTGTAAAGTTTGTCATGAAACTCCAACTGTTTTCATCCTTTGGATTGTTTCATTCCCTGCAGAAAATGGTGGCAATAGTTTAATCACATACTTTGGATAATTAAGCTAGATGAGGGGTAGGAGCACTTGCTCCATGTAACAGATGCTTTTACCACATGCAGAAGCATCACAGAAGAGGGTTCTGAATTCCCAAAGGTTCTGTTTTTTCAAGGGATATTGTCCAACAGCTTCTGTTGCTGTTTGTTAATGTTAAGCTTGGAGCTATTTGTTTGCTTCTGCGTGGAACATTTGTTCTGTAAGGCAGATTATGCTGTATAATTGACTGGAAGGATTGCTGTACATCTCTTGCAGATGTTCATTTGTCAGCAAATTGTCATATGGTCTGTATTTCTTGAATATTAATTAAATTGGTTTCTTGACTTTCTTCTTCCCTCCTCCCATGGCAAGTTTATTATGTATTAAGTATGCAACACCCTTCCTTGTTCAGGCAAGGCATGAGAAACTTTTTTCTATACCATGTTTGACTGTATGATACTTATGGCTTCTTTGTTTGCTGCATCTTGATATTTTTTTTCTGTTTAAAACTTTAATACCTGTTGGAATTATAAGGTAATTTTAGTTTAAATTTTGAACTTCAATTTTCTTCTTGTTGACCGTGGAGTGACAATGATACTCTTTATGTGCAACAGCATAACATATATCTTGTAGAGTGAAAGAGTTTTTGTTCATAACTGATGTCAGTACTCAGTACACACCAGCTAAAAGCTATTAGTATGAAGCCAACTTATGAATAGAAAAAAAGATGCAGGAAAGACATGAACGAATGAATCAAAATTGGCAACAAGTATCTGAGAAAGATGCAGGAAAGGAAACAAAAGAAGAAATCAAAGTTCATCTTGAGAATGTGATATGCAGCAAGATTGACAAAATGTATCCAATCCATATCATCTCCAATGTAAATGTCCATTAAATGTCACAGCTGTTGATAAAAGCTTTCTTTTATTTCCAGATTAGACGCAAAAGCAGCAAGTTCTTCTAATGTTGGAAACATACAGGTAAAGAGAGCACAAGTCAAATTCACAATCCAATAACTTACAAGAAATAACAGCCCTGGAAAGTACTAAAGAATGTTAAACACAACAAACCAAACCAAAGAGAACGGGAAAACTAAAGTTGTTAGTTACTACCTCTCCAAAAAAAATTCATGGAGGAAAAAGAATACAACTCTTATAGCCACAGGCTTCTTTGCAAGGAAAAAGTTGTTTGGTGGAAATGAAGCAAACTTCATGGACCTATGGAATACAGCCTCTGGATCGTGTGCACGCTACTTATCAATGTCAGGATGGTGAAGTCAGTAACCTTTAAACTCTGATATGTAATGGCTTTACAGTTAAAATCTGCTCAAGAGATAGTTAACAGTCAAAAGGGTGGAGGGGTGGGTCCATTACCCACCGAGTTTGAACCATGCATCAGCTGGCCCACGGGAATTCCTCAGATATAAAAAAAAAAAAAAAGTTCACAGTCAAAGCAATGGTCTCAAATAACTGGTACATTAGAGTGGAGACTGGGGAGGGCTGGTTTCAATTAGAAAGCTCCTGCTACAATAGGACCTCGATGTACTTGACGACGAAGCTAGACATCTTCCATCACCACTGTGAAATATTCCCTCACCTTTGTGCAGCCTAGACCTACTTGTTCTTCCCTTTCCTTCAATCTCATCGTAGTCTTCATCGTCCATGGATTCAACAAAGCCACTGTGCATTGGGTCTGCACACTCATACAAAAGCCTAAGGACCTGCTTGATTGAAGGACGAGCCCGTCCTTCTTTCTGAGTACACCATCTAACAATTGCTAAAAGGGTCTGAAGTTGATCAAAGTCATAAGAATCTCCAATGTTAGGATCGACAAGCTCAGTTATCTTAGATTCTGATGTCATGAACATTTCGGCCCACTCTATCAAATTTTTGTTATCTTGAATTGCCCGTCTCCCTGTGATTAATTCCAGTAATACTACTCCATAACTATATACATCACTTTTCTCCGTAAGCTCTTGGGTGATGACATACTCGGGATCCATATAACCTAAATAACAAAGCAAAGTTCCCTCTACATCATCAAGGTAATGAATGATGCTTGAATTTTACTCAAATAAGTAGACTTTTCCCCAACCTGGAGTTCCCTTGATCTCTGTGTTTACTGGTTCAAAGCAAATAGAACCATCCTTTGAAGCATGTGCAAGGCCAAAATCTGCAACCTATCATATTACAAGAGTTAAAAGAATAATCTGCTCTGCCAACAGATCTTATAAAGCAGTAGGGAATATTTTAGAGTTAATTTTTTACCAATTCAGTAGGCAAGAACAAAAGAAAGATTTGACGTTCGTCCTTGTAGTAAAAAGAAACTAGGTTCACTCTTGAATTAATGTAAGTTACCTTTGCAACTAAGTTTTCATCCAATAATATATTGCTTGATTTGATGTCCCTATGGCACAGTGGAGGATCACAATAGAAATGAAGATATTCCTACATGGAGGTAACAAGAAATAAGCGCACTGAATGTTAAGCAGCTTATAAAATTATAACAATTGGACAGAGTAAAATAAAAAATTGTACCAGAGCGTTTGCAACATCAATAGCTATTTGAATTCTAGTACGCCAGCTGAGGGGAGTTGTACCTGGATCTTCACATATATTTAGAGGAACAATCAAGCAAATCAACAACTACTTTAAGATGGAACAGTAGTCAAAGATGCACTATGTATTTGCCAACAACAAATAACAGACCAGTTACTGATGTTAAAGGCTAATTTTTTGTTAAAATTAAAATCAGCAAATAAGACTCGAAGATTAAGAGCATACTGTGAAGCTGATCCTTTAAGCTTCCACCTGGCATATACTCATACATGAGAAACCTGCTCCATGATAAATGTTCAGTATCGAAAAGAAGATATTAATACGTGAACTAGCTAATAGGTCACCTTACATTGAAAGCTGGACAAAGAGACGAGGTAGAAAAAATGAACAGAGAAATTTGCAAGTATGATTCCCAAACCTCTCATGCCTTTCAGTGCAAAAGCCCCTTAGAGCAACAAGATGACGATGATGCAGTCGAGCAAGCAGTTCTATTTCTCTGCAAAACTCATCCTCAGCCTGCTCAGAAACTCTGTTCATTCTTTTCACTGCTACCACGGAACCATCCTTAAATTCAGCTTTGTATACTGTGCCAAATCCTCCCTGTCCAATAGTTGTGCTGAAGTTGTTGGTTGCTTTCTTTGTCCCCTTATAGCTGTATTTCGTAAATATAGAAGCTGTACCTGTGTGCATTTTGCATAATAATAAGTAAACAGGATAAGAACCCTAGAGAATAAATGAACAGATCTTGCAATGTCGTCTTCGATTAGTACACAAATAGTCTAAAAGAACCATAAATTACCTTCCTGGAATCTTTTTGGTGGATGTGTGAAGGATTTGGAAGATATCTTATCAGTTGCATCAGAATCTTCCAACTCTTTGCTTTTCCTCCAAATCAGAACAATTAAGATAAACAGCATCAGGACAGCCATGACTGTAACTACTATGCCAATAACTGGTACTAATGTAAGATGGTAAGGATGGTGATTTTCCTTCACAGGTGTATTCAAGGAAAGTTGAGCGGGACTTGCAGCAACAGGAGGGTTTGGAGAGACCTCTGGTGAAAGTTGTGATGGAGATGGTCCTGAAAGTGGTTAGACGTACAATGGAAGTCAGAACTTTTCATATGGCTGAAAGTGCATTACATCACTAAAATGATCCATGGAAATATTTTTTATGTGCAGAAGTACAAAAACAAACACCAACTCCCTGCCTAAGAAATTACCATTAGTAAACATACCAGAGAAAGACACGGGACCAGAAAAAGTTGCAAAATGAGGGTCATAACAGCAGTTTGCTCCGAGTGTAAGGTGAGGCTAATATGACACAATGGAGGATGTTGCTGGAAAGAAGCTGAAAATGTTCGAGTCTAGGAATAGAAGATTTAAGGATTTTATGACTAATTCCGGGCAAGTTAATGATTAAGGTATAAAAGACACTGGAATACAGTTGTGTAGAGAAGAAATTACTTCAGGGCTTATGACAGAACAAAGAAAACAAATAGAAGTAGGTTTCTTTTTCTGCTTTCTCCTTTTTCTTTCTTTTGTTCTTTATCCTATATTTTGATAGTTATAGAATAGGCTCGGCACAGAATGGTTGTGCAATTTTATGTAGCTCACACTTAGACCTGAATGGAATACCTTATAAAGAATATGGAAAACTGAAAGCAACTCATCAGAATTTCAAGAAAAGGATTCAATGTTGGTAACAATATTCCAATGCATAAAGCATTCGGTACAATTCCTGTAACTGTTCTATCTAAGCTTCCGTGATAATGAATCCCACCACTACCCTGTTAAGACGTACCTGGAGGTATAATAAGGCCTATAACCCCAAAGAAACAGCGAGCAAGATCAATAGCTGATGCATTGTCAACTTGGCTTGCAAGAGCAGCAAAAGTTGCATCTCTACAAGTACTAAATGTCATATTATTAGCTGTACCAACTAGATTGCGGAGATACAAGATGCCAGCATTGAGGCATTTTCTGCATTCACTTTCCCCCGAGAGAGGGACTTGGCAGGTTTTAGTAACACTTGAAAATTGTGGAGATTGAATCATCTGAGTTACAGTTGTTCGACCTTGGCAATCATAGTTGACAGGAATTTTTGTTCCAAACCCACACAACACTGTTGCGTTTCTGTTGACTCCATGGAATTGGAAAATTTCTGCTATTTTGTCTAGGCAAATCTGTGATGTGTCAGCATTAACCCCCAGGTTGCTTGTTGCATTTGCATATCGAGCAACAGAAATTGCAACCAAGGCATTAATGTAGCGGCAACACTTTCCTCTTTCTTCTTTGTTGGAGCAGATTGAGGCAGTCAGAGTATAGTTGGATCCAGTCATGTCTAAGGGGCACACTGCATGTGTAGAAGAAAATATAGATAGTCATTGTTCAGATCTCAATTCATTGAGAAATGTTTCTGCACTACACCAGTTCTACTTCCTTTTACAATACACTCCCTAAATGAACCCCACCACACCACACACACCGAGAAAAATATAAAAGGGAAGCAACCAACTTATAGATTACAACAGCAATGATATTAGCAGTAATATACAGATAAAAAGACTTTGAAGAACTACTTAGATGCAACATGTTAAAAGTACCTGTATTTTGTATAAGCTCAGTTTTGTGGAAAGCAAGAGCTCAAAGCTATTTACGTGTGGGTGTTTGGGGAGGGGTATCAACCTGAATATCTCCAATTTTAAGAATTAACAGCGAATTGTACGGACATTGATCTTGTACACCTAGACTACAGATGAAAACTTGGACCATTAGACTTCAGAC